TCAATTCCCAGTGAAAATAGGCTAGATCTTGCCATGGGCAACCCACTTTCCGGTCCCCCTTCTGTCTCTCTTAGACAGAAACTATCTTTCTCTCAATAAATTTTTCCTACAAAAAAAAAAAAGAATTCAACAATGGATAAATCCAAAAATATGCTGAAAGAGAAAGAAAAATGAGAAAAAAAAAGTAAAGGAAAAGAACATGCTGAGCAAAAGAAGCCGGACACAAGCATACATACTGTGTGATTTCAATAATATAAATTCAAGAAGTGAAAAGAGGTACAGGGAAATAAGCTCACAGTCATTCCTCTTGGGGTGCGGAGGAAAGACTAGAAGGGACACAGAGAGCCTTTCTGGGGTCTGAATTCCAAAAGGAGTGTGGATTACACGTGAATATCCATTTGCCAAGTTGTCCTGCTAAGATTAATTTATTTTAGTGTATATATTTTTTAACTAAAAAAAGCTGCAAAAAATAGAGTGAAGGGTGGGTAGAGGTAAAGATGAAGTAAGAATAGCAGGATACTGAGAGTTAAAACTGGGTGCTCTATACTATTTTATTTACTTTGCATGTATTGAATTTTCCATAATAAGATGATTTTTAAAGCACTTACAACATTAAAAAACATTGGATGGATAGTAGTTTGAGGTAATTGCTCTCTTTTCCCTGAACAGTATTCAGCTATCCATTAAAGGAGCAGATCACAGTATTTAAGAGGACTAGCTTTGGTGCCATTTACTAGCTGTGTGACTTTGAGACAATTCGGTGACTTCTCCCAGATTCAGTCTCTCATAGGGCTTTGCAAGGTTTGAATGAGATTAAACGCCATTAGTGTAAAGTGCTTTCCAAACCCCCTCAATGAGCTACTTCCTCAGTAAGTTTTCAGTTATCATCAGTGGAAGGAAAGGATGGCACAGATCAACTTTAAAAAATACATTTAATATCAATTGTACATATAATGGGTTTCTGTGTGATATCTTCGTACATGTGTACAGTATGTGCTGATAAAATCCAACCACCCTTCTTCCAACCCCAGCACACACACCCTTCCCAACTTCTGTGAATCCCTGTTCTGCTTTCACTTTGTGTTGTTTTGTTTTTAGCTTCCACGTGTGAAAGAGATCAGACAAGTGTTGTGTTTCTGTGTCTGGCTTATTTCACTTAACATAATGCCCTCCAGTTCTATTTATTTTGCTGTAAATGACAGGATTTCATTCTTCTTTCTGGCTAAATACTAGGCCCTTGGGTATATAGAACATATTTCCTTTATTCACCCCATCTGTTGGTGGGCACCTATACGGGTTCCATGTCTCAGCTATTATGAAAAGTTCCACAATAAACATGGGTATGCAGGTATCTCTCTGGTGCTACCTTCATTTCTTTTGGGTACACACCCAGAAGTGAGGTAGCTGGATCATAAGGTAAAGGTACTTTTAACATTTTGAGGAACCTCCATACTGTTCTTCATAGCAGCTGTACTAATTCAAATTTCTACCAACAATGAATAAGAGTTCTTTTCTTTCCCATCTTCTCACTAGCTATTTTTTTTAGATAATGTCTTTTCTAACTTGGGTGAGATGGTATCTCATTGTGGTTTTGCTTTGCATTTTCTTGACGATACTGAGTAATTTTTTCATATATTTGTTGGGCACTTGTATCTCTTCTTTTGAGAAATATCTGTGCAGGTCATTTGCCCATTTTCAAATTCAATTATTTGGGGCTTTTTTTTGTTAAAAATTTAAAGTTTCTTTTATATTCTGGATATTAACCTTGTCAGATATAGAGTTGGCATATTTTTTTTCCCATTGTGTAGTTTTTTTCTGTACTCTGTTGATTGTTTCCTTTGCTGTGTGGAAGCTTTCTAGTTTGATGTAATCCCATTTACTAGTTATTTCTTTTGTTTCCTGCTTTTAGGGTCCTATCCAGGAAATCATTGCCTGTACCAATGTCTTTTAAGTGTTTCCCTTATATTTTCTTCTAGTAGTTTTAGAGTTTCAGGTCTTACATTTAGGTCTTTGATCCATTTTGAGCTGATTTTTGTGCAGATGAGTGAGGGATCAAGTTTAAGCCTTCCACATATGAATTTAGTCCAATACTTTTTCTCCAGCTAGTGACAGGATCATATGGCTTGTTCCTTTCCTCTGTTAAAATGATGACTTTTGGAGGTGGATCTTCCAATGCTGAACCAACACTGCCATCCCTATAATAAAACCACTTTCTACATACTGCCAGGTCTGACTTTTTTTTTTTTTGATACCGAGGATCGAACTTGGGTCCTTGGCTTGCGAGGCAGGCGGCAGAACCACTGAGCTAAATCCCTGGCCCTAGATCTGACTTCTAATAGTTTGTTTTGTTAAACAAATTTCTATGTATGTTCATACTTTTTTCTATTATCTTAATCCAGTTTTAGGATTAGCACAATGTTGATTTCCTAAAATGTGGGGAGAAGTGTTCCTTTTTTCTGCTTTAAATGTTTGATATAATTTATCAGTTAAAATGTATATGAGGCTGGAGATTTAGCTCAGTGGTTTTGCCGCCGGCTGCGCAAGCGCAAGGGCCCGAGTTTGATCGCCGGTACCAAAAAAACGTATATGAGCCTGTTGTTGGCATATAGGTAGGTTTTCAAGCTAGGAATATACTTTAATAGGTGCTATTCAAATTTGATATTTCCTCCACAGTTAGTTTCATTAGTCTTCCAAGGTACTTCTTAGAAGTTGTCAGATTTATTTCAAAAAAGATTTTTGTAATATGCTTTCTGTATTCTTTTAAATTCTGTAAATTCTGTGGTAATGTCTCCTAGATCTTGATATTGTAATTTTAAAAATGTATAATTAGTATTGTGTAATAGGAAGAAAAGGTCTAAAGGAGCAGGGGAAGTGGGAGGGGTAGGGGAAAGGAAAGAAGAGAAAAGAAAATATGAGAAAAGGAAAAAAATGGAAACAAAGTCTTTGCAAATAGGGAAGGATGGGGGGGGTGAAGGGAGGGCAGGGGAAGGGGGAAAAAAATAACCAAGATACTCATGTAATAGTACAAGATCCCAATGATGAATATAACTGTATTTTATACCTAAAATGTACCAATAAACTTAGTGAGGGGAAAAAAAAGTCTTCCACGTGTGGATATCCAGTTTTTTTCAGCAACGTGTGTTGAAAAGGCTGTCCATTCTCTACTGTTTGTTATTGTTGCCTTTGATGAGCATCACTTGGCTCTAGATGTTTGGGTTAATTTCTGAGATCTCTAACCTGTTCCATTGGTCCATGATTCTGTTTTCATGCCAATACCATACTGTTTTGGTTCCTGTGATTTTATAGTATGTTTTGAAATCAGAAATTGTAATGCTTCCAGCTTTGTGTGTGTGTATTCTTGGGGACTGATTCCAGGGCCCTCACACTGAACTACATTCCCAGCCTTTCAATATTTTTTATTTTGAGACAGGGTCTAAGTTGTTGTAGTCAGGGTGTGCAAGGGAATAGATTTAACATAGGACACATAATTTATAGGATTATTTTATAATAGTCACCCAAAAAGTTAAATGTAGAGCAGTGCAAGAGATCTGCGCATGTGCTAGGGACCTGAAGAATCCATCCAAGGGCCTGGATTCTTGGCTATATCCCATACAAGTCCAGCTGAAGGCCTGGAGCCTAAGGCCAGAGGCCTGGAGCCCACGGCAGTGTGTCATGCAAGTCCATATCCAGGATCTGCCCTGGGAAGGCCCAGAGGCCAGTGGTGAAGCTAGGAAGTCTGCGCCAGTGGGGTGAAGGATCTGTGCCACCAGGGTGAGGAATCTGCACTGGAGCCAGGAAGTGATGCTCGAAGCAAAGACCAGAGCTCCCCTGACGAGAACAGCACCATCCCTGGCAGTAATGAGGACCTGAGCTCCTCTGACAATGAGAACAGCTGAGATCATATCAGGAAAACCAGCCACGGCAAGCTTCTCCAGGAAAATCAACAGCATATGATCTTCCCCTCCAGTTCTCCTTTTATGCCATTGGTAGCAATTCTCAGGTGGGTCTTCCATGCCCAGATCCATGCTTAGTTCAGCCGGGCATTCCAAGATGACCATTAGTTAATCCACCACATTTGTCCTGGCTGGGCTTGAACTTGCAATCCTCTTGTCTTAGCCTCCCACAGTGCACTACAATGCCTAGCTCTTGGGCTGTTCTTTTTGCTCAAGATTGGCTATGTGAGGAGGTCTTTTGTGCTTCCATCTAAATTTTAGGGTTGTTTTTACTAGTTCTGTGAAGAATGTCATTGGTATTTTTATTGAATATGTATATTGCTTTGGGTAGTACAGACACTTTAACAACGTTAATTCTTACAATCCATGAACATGGGAGGTCTTTCCATTTTTTGTCTTTGTTTTTTTTTCAGCATTTTCTAATTTTTGTGGAGGTATTTTAATTCATTGGTTAATGTATTCCAGTTATTTATTTGTAGCTATCATAAGTGGGATTGTTTTCATGATTTCTCTTAGCAAATTCATTATTGACATATAAAAAGGCTACTGGTTTTCATGTTGATTTTGTATTTTGCTACTATACTGAATTCATTTAGCAGTTCTAATAGTCTTCTGGTGTAGTTAGGTTTTTCTACACATGGAATAATGTCATCTGCAAACAGGGATACTTTGACTTTCCTCTATTTGTACATCCTGTGTTTTTTCCCTTGCCTAATCACTCTAGGGGAAACTTCTAGTATTATATTGAATAAGAGCAGTGAGAGTGAACACCCTGTCTTGAGCCTAATCTTAGAGAAAATACTTTGTTTTCCCCATTCAGTCTGAGATTGACTGTGGGTTTGTCTTAAGTAACTTTTACCATGTTAAAGTGCAATTCTTCTGTGACTAATTTGTTCAGGGATTTTACGAGAGGATGTTGAATTTTATCACATACTTATCCTGTATTGAGATGATCCCATGATTTTTAATCCTTTTTTCTGTTGATGTGATGTGTTACATTTATTTATTTGCAGGTGTTGAGCCATCCTTTTCTCTTCGGTATTAAACAAACTTGATTGTAGTTGACCCGGTCTCAGATCCTGGTTCGGTTCGGGGCACCAAGTGTAGGCAACTCTTTCCTGGCTGGACTTACTCTGGGACCTAAAATCTACTACTTTGTTTCTCCCCCTGACTGGGGGTGTGTGGGGGAGTAGTGTGGGGGGTGGTGAATGACAGAGACACGCAGTCATCTTAACACGTGTGCGGGCAGCCAGGGGGTTCTCACCTCTAGTAGGCAGAGGAGCCCGCGCCTTCGGCTCACCTAGCTTTTATTCACCCACACATGGGCACAAGCAGCCACGGTAACACAGGATTCATCTGCTTCCTAGTACCCATCAGTACATGCTCTGGTAAAGAACTTAACCTCAGCTGTCTGAACTTTTCCCTAAAATGCAGTCACCCCCGAGTGCAGCCTTTCTCCTTTGTGCTCACAGAGGAGGCCAATCAGGCCTTAATTTTCCTCTGCCCCATTATGATCTTTTTGATGTCTTGTTGAATTCAATTTGCTAGTGTTTTGTTGAGATTTTTGCATTTCTGTTCATCAGGGATATCAGTCTATGGTTTTCTTTTTCTTTCTCTTCCTTCCTCCCTCTCTCCCCCTTTCTCTCATTTTTCTTCCTTTGTACACTCCTGTGTGTTTGTCTGGTTTTGCCAGTAGGGCAATGAAGGCCTCAAAGAATGAATTTGGAAGGACCCTTGGCCTTTCAGCTCTGCAGAATTCTTTGAGAAGAAATGACATTGATTCTTCTTTAAAAGTGTGGTGAAATTCAACAGTGAAGCTATCCAGTCCCAGGCCTTTTTTTTTTTTTGTCAAGACGCTTCTTATTCTGATTCAATCTCATTACTTGTTATTGGTCTATTCAGGTTTTTTTTTAATGTCCTCATGGTTCAGTTTTGATAGTTCATATGAATCCAGCAATGTTCCCATTTCTTTTAGGTTTTCTAATTTTTTTAGCAGTTTTTATCACAATCATAATGATCCTTTGTATTTCTGTGGTGTCAGTTGTAATGTTTCCCTTTTCACCTCTAGTTTTATTTGTATTTTCATTCTCTATTTTCTCTCTCATTCTAACAAAAAGTTTGTCAATTTTATCTTTTCAGAGCTAACTCTGTTTCACTGATGTTTTGTCACACGAGTGCGCTAGCAGTCGAGGGAGGTGTGGTGCAGACAGCAGTGGGTGTGGAGAGCCCACTGGGGGGCTCCTCCTACCCGGGGAGTGGTGGACCTTATCTGGTGTGGGGGTTTGCTCAGGCACTGTTGATGGTCGCTCTGCTCTTAGCGAGCGAGCGAGCACTGTGGCACTGCAGCCCCAGCATGGTGAGGAGTCTGAGGCACCAGTCAGTGGTGCCGGCCCAGATGCTGTGCCCGGAGAGGCAGTGGGGGAGCTGCAGCAGCCCCCATGTGGTGCTCACACCAAGTGTGGACCGAAGTACAGTTGGAGCAGGTGTGAGGGCAGGAATGCAGGAACCACCCAAATTAGGTGACAGCAGCAGCCACATTCTCCCTCTCTGGCACTGTGGTGACAGTCCCCCCAGGAGCAGGACCATGGCGGGAGCCAGGCAAAGCTCCTCTTAGGGGTTCATTTGGGCAAGGGCCTGATGATGCCTGCCCTTTCAGCTCTAGAGTGTGGCTGAGAGTTGGGGTGGGATACCAGCTGGGCGCACTTGCCCCTAATTGTGCGTGCCTGGAGAGAGGGCAATGCTGCAGCTACTGAGTTGTTCAAGGCTCTTTCAGCCCACCCTTGTGGATGAGGTGGCAGCAAGAACCCCTTGTCCCATGTTGTCCGAGCTTGGCCTGGGGAGGGTGCAGGAACTACACAGTCTCTGCCTTTAGTCCTGGCACTGGTGTGAGCCTTCAGGCCGCTGGCTATGCCCTTGGTCTCAGAGCCCCAGTACCCCAATATCCTGGTTCTTGAGCGTGGCACCCTCCCTTTCCCGCTGTGTCTCAAACTGGTCTCTTACAGTGCAGGGTGCCCAGCAGGCTTAGGTCAGTCCCTCTGCTGGATCACAGTGGGTTTGTGAGGCAGCTATCCCTCCCGCCAGTGCATTCCATGTATGTGGGGTCCCTGACTCCTGGAGCAGCCAAACTCAGTAGCTCAGTTCTCAAGATGGCTCCTGCGGGTCCCTGAGAGATGGTGTGAGATCCTCTTCCAAGCAAGGCTACTGAGCAGATCCCAGGTCACTTACCTAGGTGGGCTGCGGGGCTGTGAGAATGTGAACTTTCCAGTAGCCAGGATTGCCGGCGTCCACCCTGAGAGTTTGCTGGGATCCTTCCTCACCCTGAACTGCACGGTGGAGGGAATCCTTCTCCCCAGCTGTGGAGCAGATGGCAGGCACTGAGAGTTTTGTTTCTCTTACTATGCTGTTGTCCCAGGTCTCTGAATTGACAAGCTCTCCTGCTAACAGCCAGCATTCCCTCTCACCTGCTCACCTCACAGGCTGCTCTGCACCTGTTACTTCGCTGATTCCTTGTGGAAACGCAGGTGAGTGCTGGCTGCCTCTCCATCTTGAATTTCTAAAATATATTCTTAATTGACTTTGGAAAAATCCTTTTGTTTAATTTGAACGTAACTGTGATATTTGGGGGAAGTGGCATGATGGAAGGTTTGGTGGAGAAGACATTAGAAAAAGGTTTTAGTAAACTCTTCTACCTTGAATCTAACTTGGGAATTAACTTTATCTCCATGACAAGACTATCTTCCTATTCCTAACATAAAACACATAAAAGAATAACACAGGCAATCCTGAATTGTTTTTCTTGTTTGGTTCTAAATGTGAACTTATTTGCTTTTTCTTTGGTGAGCACCTGTCTTTGAGTTGTTTTGATCCAGCCAGTATTTAAGTTGGCTTCGTTTCCTGACTTCAGAACAGCTAGTTGTAGGGAAAGAAGGCTAAATTTTTAACCTAAAAATAGAAAATAATCTCAGCTGGCTAATAAAAAAACCCCCAAGTATATAACCATATTCAATTTCAGGCCTGGACTGCAGTTTTGAGGTTTAATCTTTTATTTATTTTTGTGGTGCTGGGGATTGAACCCTGGGCCTTGGGTCATGCTAGGCAAACAGGCTACTACGGAGCTACAGCCACAGCCCACAGTTTCTTTCAGAAGCAACTTTCACCTCCATGTTTTCACAATGTTAAAGGCCAATCCTTTCCTTTATGGCTGTAATTCTTCCCTTCCTCCATGCAGGGAGTTTGTATTGAGCTGCTTCTCTGTGCTAGGCCTCCTCAGGTGCTGGGCATGTGAGCATGAACAAGGGTCTCTTTGCTCCCCGGGTGGGAGTCACTCTGTCAACAGCGAATACCTGAGGGGACACTTGAGAAGGGTCCCCAGGGAAGGCCTCTACCCCATGTCAGGCTCCACTGGTCTTTCCCTGCGTTATGTAGCTGCAGTTTTCGGTGTCATTTTCCTTCAGGAGACCTACGTGGAATTCGCTGGGAAGAGCTGGCTTTGAGGGTTATTTGTGGCCGAAGTCTTCCCAGATCCCTTCCCAGCAGCTTCACCGAGCACAACTTGTCTCAGAAGAGCAGAGCTGGGCACATCTGCCAGGGTCTAAGGTCCCGGCACACTCCTGGCCGGGTCGCAGATTCCCACGCTGCATCTGTCTGGCCGGAGGTCTGCGATTCCTCTCCTTCTCTCTCCTCTCCCCTGAGGGTGTTTCTGGTTCCTCTCTCCTCATCCCCACTGCAGGGAGCATCCTCGAATTCGGGTTGGCTTCCCATGGGCTGCTCCTCGGCCTCCTGCATGTGGAAGCTTCCACTACCTTTTTCTTCCTCCTTCATCTTTGTTCCTAGTATGCTTGTTATTTTTATTTTTCTCTTTTAAAAACACAAGCATTTAAAACTAATTTAGGTAAGAGCTAGTGCTTCGTAGGTCCATGTGCCTTGGGATGATTCTGAATGGTTTATCTCCCTCAATTCTGGTTTTTCCCATCTGCACTTCAAAAATAGTTGGTTAAATTTAGATTCATTCGGGTAACTTAAGCATGTACCACATTACTCCGCATGATTCTCTGAGAATTTTAACCACTTTCTTTTCGTTTTTAAAATCGCTCTTTGAGGTTTCCACAAATGTTTATGGAGGCTGTTCCCCTTCCTGTGTTGGGTTTGGATTTCTCAAGCGCTGGAGCCTTGCTTCCTGCCCTGTGCCCCCGTCCTCCCCCGGGCTCCCCCGTCCCCAGCCCTGCTGTGTCCCCAGATCAGCCATTTCCCTGGGTCACTCCGGCCCTCACTTTCGCTCTGCTTCGTGAACGCTTATCACCCCCGTCGCTGAGTTAGTCGTAAAAGGCCACGTGGCACATGCCACCCTGCTCGGGGGCTGTCTTCCAAGCGCTTCACGGAAGTCTTCATCTCGGGCCCTGCACTGCTTGCTTAGCAGTCTCTCCCTGCTGCACACTCGCAGAATTAGATTTATTGAAAGATCACAGCCTCTTGCTTTCTGCTTTCCACTGTCAGCTCTAGTAACCTACTTGAGTCTTCAGCTGTGTAAGAAAAGTTCTTCCCTTTCTCAGAACAAGCATCAGCTGTCTGGTGTTATGGACCTCCTCGGGATCCACAAAGGCCGAGGAACGCGTCTGAATGTGGAGATCTCTTGGAAGCAAACGGCCTGAGTGGCCTCCAGAGACTTGTTTCCTTAGCAACAGCGCCCGAGTATGAGGCCCCGAACAATTTGTTGTTATCCATTCCCTCCTCAAAAATATAGTTGCCTAGCAGATTGCAGCAGACCTCGGCCCAGGCTTGGACTGAACCCTGCCCCTCAACTCAGTCTCTCAGGATATGAAACAGCAGGGTCGTATCAGGTTTAGTGCTACAGGTTTAGAAATAATTTTTGTTTCTTTTTGTTTTGTTTTTTTGGTACCGGGGATTGAACTCGGGTCCTTGCGCCTGCACAGCAGGCAGCGAAACCACTGAGCTAAATCCCCGGCCCTAATTTTTGTTTCTAAAGCAACATAATTTGACCTCAAGCTTTGTGGGGCTACAGAAAACACCACTGAATTCATGTTGTTTACCTAAAACAAGATAAAAAGCTGAACAAACAAAAACTCTAGAGGTTGTGCATTCCACAGATTTTCTTAACCAGTGACAATTAAGGAAAACATCTGTCCAGTCCCCTCTTGGAGCTTCATAGGAAGAATTCTGAGCATGTGGAAGAGGTCACGTTCACAAGTGCAGCCTCCACCTATAGCACAGGACGGAACTCTGTCCCGACTTCCTGCTGAGGATACGGAGAAGGCATTTACTCTTCCTGATGTGGTTGCTTCCAGCAGACTGTAGGAAAGGAAGTTTCTTTGCCACTGCCTGGTGGCACGTCATTGGTCCGCTGAATGTAGAGATGGACAGAAGGCCAATCAGAAGAAGCCACACAACCTGGACAAGCAGGCTTCTGAGAACGCCTGTGTTATGGTTTGGGTCTAGATGTCCCCTCAAAGCCTCATGTGGCCATAGGCTTGATCTAGAGTGTGTGAAGCTGAAATTGATTCATGATGCAATCCTAGGCTGAAGGGCACTAGGATCAAGAGTGTGAGTGCTACCCGCCCTCAGTAGTCTGAATAAAAGGGGCAGGAAAATGCTGTTAACTCTCTTGTTATCATTTCTGCCTTGTGTGTGCCATGTTGCTTCTGCTCTGCCATGCCTTGTTTGTCGTCCCTGCCTTGGAATCGGCTGATTGTAGACTGAAACCTCTATGAACTGTAAGCTAAATAAACCCTTTCCCCTTTAACTTTGAGTGTCTGGTATTTTGTCTCAGCAGTGAGAGAAAAGTAACTAACACACCCTGGAACAGAGGCATTACAGACTTTCCCTGAAGTCTCACTGTACAAAGTTATTTCTGGGGCACAAGGTTATAAATAAAAGTCAACAGCCCTGCATGGAAGCTGAGCAAGGAGGATTGCTACGAGCTCGAGGCCAGCCTGGGCTACATAGTGAGGTCTAGGCCAGCCTGAACTGCATACTAGTGAGGCCCTTTCACCCCCCACCCCCCAAAGAAATAAAAGTCACGTCTAAATGACAGAGATGACTGCAATGGTCTTCTCTTTATATCTGTTCTTTAATTTTGGTAAATTTCTTCCGTGTAGAGTATGTTTTGGAAGAGGTCTTCCTTTCCTCCCATCTTTGGTACAGATCACCGCTGACAACTGATAAAAATTATGGCTTTTCATTCAAAATATACCCTTGTAGAAAAACCTTACGCATATCTTATTTGGTCTGTGATGTGTCTTTTCCATTCTCACTGAAGCTGCCCTAGTTTTATTGGAAAAAAATTTTCTTTACCTACCTAGAATCACTCCATTTTTGTGTGTGAGGGGAGTACTTTGTGTATGAACCAGGGACATTTTAAAAACAAAAGTTATTCTAGGTATTTTCAAGATTTTCCTGCTGTATCGCAATCATTTTCATCTGTCTTGCCATATCCTGTTGACTTCAAGTGCGTGTATTTATAAAGCTCTTTCAGAGGACGAATGTGTGAGGTAATTTGAGAATAGCCATCATGTTCAGAATCTATTTCAGAAAATTAGCATTTACAGAAGTGTGGGACTCAAGTACAGGGACACCTTTGACACTAATCCAGGCTGCAAAAGAAAGTGTCAAATTCCTGGGCTCCTTGGCTATGGCTGACATTTTCGCAATTACTTATGATAACAAGGCTGTGATTTTTACACTGAGCAGAGCTCCGAGTTTAAGAGTTGATTTTCTAACAGAGCTGATAGACCTGTTCTTCTCTTAAGTTGCTCTTGTGACATTCACAGGACAGAGGCAGGACTGAGCATGAAGCAAGTGAAGCTGACAGCACTAAGAGGGGACTGAAGCCCTGACCCTGGGCTCATGAGCTCCATTCTTAAGACAGGGCAGCCGGACAGGCCGCTAATTAGTGACTCATTTGGCAGCAGAGGCTGGACTCGTGCGCTGATCCAGTCCAGAGCCAGCATCCGCCAGATGCCAAGTGGCCGCTGTCAGAACCCAAGGGCACGAGGCTGCAGTGTCACTCACAATCACCAGAAAATACAGCTTTTAATCTACAGTAAAGTCTATTTGCCACCTTCATTGTTTTAATGTTTAAAATCTTGAACATTTAAAGTTTTATCATAGTGTATGTCTTCTGCAGTATTTTTGGTTTATCATTAGGTTTAGATTTGGTCATGTTTTGTGCAGTGGAATTGATTCATTGCTACTTTGATTCCATTTTAGGAGTGGAATACAATTTATCATCTCCATTTCAGATACTCATTTCCAGGTGTGGTGGTTAATTGATTGTCAGCGTGAGTGGGGACGCCCAGCTGAATTGAGTCAGCATGGTTCTGGGCGTGGAAGACCCACTTTAAGGAGAATTGTTATCAGAATGGTAAGAAAGAACAGGAGGGAAAAAGTCAGCTAATTTTCCTTGAAAGAGCTTCACTGTGACTGATTTCCCTCAGAGGAGCTCAGGTCTTTGCCTTTGTCTTGGGCACTGTCTCCTGGCTTTGGGGGCAGATTCTTTGGCTTCCAGCACCAGCCTTTTGGCTGCCAGCCCAGCCCCCAGCCCCCACCCTTCAACTTGTTGGCGCAGAACCCTTGGTCTTTTGCTGCAGATTCTTTGGCCTCTGATTCGGACTCCTACCTCCTACGGGACATTGCCAGGCCTCTGGCTGGATCCTCCGGGTCTCTAACATGCACACAGATCTTTTGCACTCTTCTACATTTGACTGTGGGTGGGCACTGGAGGCCAATCTTGCCCCAGCCCTGCAAGCTCTTGTGAGCACTAGTACACCACGTTCTCGCTGTTCTATGCCATGGGCTCTTCTAATTCTTGTACTTGGCTCCCAGTGAGCATGGGGGTTTCTCCAGGGTTAGGGATCCACCTGAGTGGTGGGATTGTGGGACCACAGGGTAGTTTACCAGATGATGCCAAAGTGTTTCCCACAGTGTTCTGTTCCAATTTAGAGTCCCACCAGCAAATAAAAAAAATTCCCATTTTCTACAATATTGGTAAAGTTGAACAGATAGGTTTACAGACATTTTGAGCTTTTTTTGTGAAATGCCAACTTTAGGGTCTTGTCCACTTTTCTTTTGATCTGTGTGCGCGTTTTTATGCTCTGGATACTAATCCTCTGTCAGTTGTGTTGCAAGTATCTCAATTTTGATTAGCCTTTCACCCTCTACTGTTTTTATAATTCTCATTTCAACATAATCAGTTTCTACTTTTGTCTTAATACACAAAATCTTTCCCCAGTGTCTATAAAAATGCTCAGTTATGTTTAAAGTTTTACAGTTTTGCTGTTCACATTTCAGTCTTTAATCCACTTGGACTTGATTTGGACTACTACATACTGTTACAAGGGAGTGGTCCAGATTCTTGTTTCATAGACATAACCAGCCGTTCACTGGGAAATCCTGTTTCGGGGAGAAACCAGTGTGTGTAGATGGTATCTGCATTTCTGGAGCCTCTTTGGACTCTGGCTGTTTCTCTCTGTTCCAACATTGTGCTTTCAAAGTGGTTTTATTCAATTTGTATTTATTTGATAAGGTGGGTCCTCTCACCTGTTGTTCTTTAGGAATGTTTTCGGTCTTGTTTTTCCTGAACATTCTAAGAGCTAATCGAATTTATAATTAGGACAGAAACAAGGTTGTTTATAGATATTTTGATTAGCAAACCTGAGAGTTAATGTGTTCTGTTGAATTTTACTTGGTCCTAGAGTTCACAAAATTTAGAGATGAGAATTTTATTCTCATAAACAATGTTTTCTTCTTTATTATGTAGCATCTATAAACCATATTAATACAGATATGATTTTAAACCTGTTTGGTTGCTTGTGCTGTTTTTAATCACAAATTTAATTAACATTGAGCTTGGACCACTTCCCTGAGCAGTAATACAAATAATGCCTGGCCAGTGAAGCCACATGAGACTATAATTAGATCTCAGGAAATAATGGTCTCAAATTATTGTAAGTGCTCATAATTTTTAGTAATGTGCAGGGCCATGCCCAAATATCAGAAGGGAAACTCAGCTGGGAGTGTATATGCTGGGAACTGTACTAGGGGAACAGAATTTTAATTTATACATCCAAGCCTGGGAAACTCTGCTGTTTATTAAATAAGCAGAGAAAATGAGAGGAATCAGCAGTGGGAAATAAGGTCACCAGATAAGGCTTTTTGGCTGCTCTGTTTCCTGTTCTGGGCAGCTCTGCGATCCACCCTGAGAACTGCATTCCCCTTCCCCTGATTGCAGTTTCCCATTTCCGGCCACTTGTCTCTTCTCTGCCACCTCCCCCGCCTGGAGCTGCCAAACCAAAGCAGTTCAATGAAGACAGTGAATCTGTCCAAGAGACAAACTCTCCGGTAGATGTCTTCCTCCCGTGTGCTCCTGTGGAGACGACTGGGACCTTAAACTCACTACTGCGCCATGCCTGTCAGGTCTACACCTGCATCGTACCTCCTCCTTGCCTTCTCAACTATGTAGCTGAAGGAGAGGAGGTGACCGTAATAGCTGGACAGTGTTTTGTTGTGACACGATTTTCGAATCAGTGTGTAGGACTCCAGAATGCATCAGAGCAGAGCTGGCAGCTGGCGAGGTTATGCACTCAAAGGCAGTTTAATCTCAGTGATGACAGCCTGGGACAGGGGTGGATGTCTGAGAACTCTGCACCTCTCCCTTTGGTACTGGGGATCTACCCGGGCCTTGTGAACAACAGGCAAGCACTCTATCACTGAGCCACAACCCCAGGCCTTACTGATTTTTTTGGTACCAGAGACTGAACTCGGGACCTTGTGCTTGCCAGACAGGTGGTGGAACCACTGAGCTAAATCCCCGGCCCAATCCTTATTTTTAAATCTTACTTTAAGACGGGGTGGCTAAGTTGCTCCAGCTGGCCTCGAGTGTGCCTCAGTCTCCCGAGTACTTGGGGTTACAGGTGTGCACTACCATGCCCAGCTTTTCTCATATTTTTGGAACCATCAAAGTGGTGAAGATGTTACCGTATTTTAGGCGACTAATCTAAAAACAGCAGCACCACTCATCAGGCTTAATGATAAGAGATAAAGACTATGAAAAGCATAGGATAAAGGTGCATTACAGAGGCGAAGAGAAAAGTTGAATTAAAGATACCATAACATTTTATAAAGGAACTATTATTATATTTAATGTAGCTATAGTGTAGAGGACTTTCAACATTTTACTTAAGCCTGGGTACTTTTCCAGATAAATTAAGGGTCAGGAACCCAGGTGGACTTAATCCCAATACATCATCAGTTGACAACTAATTACAAAGCTTAATGGGCCAGGGATTTAGCTCAGTGGTGCCAACAGCTGCCTTGCAAGCACAAGGTCCCGAGTTCGATCCCTGGTACCAAAAAAAAAAAAAAAAAAATTAAAAAGCTTAATAAGACTTTTAATATAGAAGAGAGCTAAAACTATAGTAAACTGAATGAGAAAAGTATAGCCTGGCCTATTATTGCTTTTGGGGACTGTGTAAGAATAGAGGGTTAAGAACTACAAGTGGCTTTTTTCTCCAGCTCCCTGACTTTTGAAGTTCAAGGCTGCCTAGAACTTAACTTGTACCGAGTAGAGATTACTGATTAACTCCATCACAGCTTCCAGCAGGTCTTGAACTTGGCGGAGGTTGGTTGGCGCCCTGTCCCCAGGGCCTGTGTGTCCACTTGAACCTGAATCCCAGAGCGGGAAATCTAGGTTGGCCACTGGTGATAGGGCTCCACAGGGGTCATGACAGGGTGGCTGTTACCACCACTGGATGGAGAGATAGGACCCAGGTCTCCACTGCTGCTCTGTAGTGAAGAGAAACGGGTATGTGTTACGGAACAACACGAGCTCTATGATTTCTAAAATGCCAGACAGACTGGGATAGGTGGAGACTGAGAGAAGGTCCCAGGGTGAAGACATCCCAGCACTGGGGAGCAGCCAGAAAGGGTTTGCAGAGTCAAGGCCTCAATACACTCAGGGCTTTTAGCAAGTGACTACACAGGGAATCTGGTATTGGAACATTTTAAATGGGAAGGAGTACGGCCTGTTACAATATGGCCTGGGGAAAGCGATCAGTCTCCTACAGCCCAACAGCACAGCACAGAGGTGAACGAGGTGATGGTGGCAGCAACAAGAGGGGGATGCAAGGTTGCTAAGGGAAAAATGAACAGGCATTGGCTTGATTAAATGCAAGGGTAAATATGGAGAAAGTTCAGGATCAGAACTGATCTGAATGCTGGGGGTAGCAACACAGAGTAAATGAATAAATGCAGTTTTTGGACCAAGAATTATTTTGCTGTTTAAAACAAATTCTGCTTCAGTCAACTTCTGCTTCTAATTGGATCCCTAACAGATATTACACAGTCATGTCTTAGCATCAGGAAAATGAAGGGTTCTCAACCTAAGTAAAAGCATCTGTCCCAGAGAGAAAGCACCCACGGGTGACTCTGGAGTACTTGCCAGATGTGCTCACAAGATAGAGGCAGGAGAGCCTTTCCAAAAGGTGAAAAGTTCATTTCTACAAAGTTAATGCTATGCAAAGAGTAAAGACAAGTACAAAAAGAAACATTAAATAAAAGGCATTGCTTTTATTTAAAATAAAATGCATTTATACAGTCTTTAAACCATGGATTATTGGACAACACTGGTATCCACTCCTCCCTGGCCCCTCTCGGGGTGTGAGCAAGGGCTCTCCTGACTAGCACCAATCGGATTGTAACAGCGCAACAGACTAGAACATGCCAGTCTAGGCGTTAGTGTTAAGGACACTGTGGCAAATCACGACCAGAATGCAGTCATTCTTAATTTAGCACATATTAAAACTGCATATTAATTATATCTCTTAAAAGCATTTAATTAATGCAAGGATGCTACATTTAAGCCATTTTCTAGTTGTGAATAGTTTTAAAAAACTGTACAATTTTATAAAATTTGTGTTTGTACATTAGTTACACAAAATGCATACTTCATAGACCTTTACTTCATATTGTAATGCATAAGTTGCATATTTTAGGCAGACAGTGAATATGCTGGTGAATACTAAAAGTGTTGTAATACATTATGGTGTAAAAATAAAAACAAGACAATATACACACATGCTTATTCAAGGACAAAAACCAAGCATAACAGACTAACAGCATTTTCCTTCAAACAGTGACATTATTAAATATCAGGCATCTTTTGCAGGCCTGATTTTATATGGGGGGGTGTTTAAATGGCTACCAAAAGTAGGATATTTAAAACATGACATCAAATTGAACACACATTGAAACACATGCATTAAACATGATAAGTAGACTTCATACATGTTAAGCCCTGGATACCTTTAGTCGATGGCTTGTTTCTTAGTTTGGCTAGCGTGCATCAGTGATGCTCTGTTCTTGATCTGCTCACTGTTTCGGTTTTCAATTCATGGCCCTAAGGAATGTCTGCCATCTTCCAGAGTCCACATGGCGTATCACGATAGCAGATTAAGAATGGTGCGTGTTAGTGCACATAGTAACCAGTCTGGTAAGGCAAAGAAGGTTTTCATGATGAAATGATAATTTCAAGCTTACTTTATTAAGCAGCATATAACAACAGCTTTAAAGTTAAATATTGTTACGGCCGTGGGGTTTCATTACACAGTATTTCTAATCACACCCAACCACTGGTAAGTTTGTAGAACATCTCTTCATCTAAACTCTCGTTTTGGTCTTTTGCACGTGTTGAGAGGAATATGTAGCCACCGATGAACTCATGAACCACTTTGCAGTCCACTTCGGTACAAATGAAGGATAATCGGACTTCATCAGCAAACTCTACTGTGACCTAGGACAAAGAACAATTAGGCCCATGAAATTCCAGAGGGTTGGCTCTCAGCAAAGCTACGTGCTGGTTAAAGCCTGCCCTGTCACAAAATACTTCTCAGTCCTCAAAGAATTACTGTTTTAAAATGTGAGAGTATTTTAAGTCTGAAAGAATAGGAAAGTTTATTAGCCCTTCCCCCATTCTTTTCTAAGTTCTGAAAAGGAAGACAGAATGCAAGGGTTTTAGGTCATTAAGTTCCCAAGTGGTCTCTGGTGATTAAATTAATGACAGTATTTCTCTCCAAGTCCTGAGAGAAAACCTACTTCCTGTGTTTTATTTAATATTTCCTTCAATATGTAACCTTTAGGTATCATGTTTGAATATTTCAAAAAGTGTTTTTCCCCCTGGTATTAGAGACTGAATTCAGAGATGCTCTACCACTGAGCTACATCCTTAGTTTTTTAATAATTTTTTTTTAGGGTACGGGGATCAAACTTGGGACCTTGCACTTTCGAGGCAGGTGCCAGAACCACTGAGCTAAATCCCCAGCCCAATCCTCAGTTTTTTATTTTAAGACAAAAGTTTTTTGATCCTCCTGTCTCAGCCTCCTGAATAGCTGGGAGTACAGCTGTATACCACCATGCATGGCCAGAAATATGACTTTTATTCGAAATGGTGCATTATGATCCTAAATCAAATGACTCAGTAGTAAAATACTGTTTAACATTCAGGCACATCAAGGCTGGGGGGGAGCAGCACGAATGCTGTAGGTTCTAGAGCCTCAGATCATCTGTTTGAATGCTGATTCTGTTACTACATGCATGGCATGGACAAATGCAAAGTACATCCAGCTAATCTGTGGACCTTAGAAAGCTGTGGTGAGGTTGAGAGGGCACAAATATAAACACCTGGTACCATACTCGGCACAAAGCAGGCATTCAATAAACCGTGGCTGCTCTTTACGAGTAGAGGGGATTTATCCATTACAGAACAGCAACCTTACAAAGATCACGCAGTATCTCAGCAAACTGGTTTGCGCTCGGACTGCAGTTTGGAAGAATGTGAGATGAACTGAGAAATGATAACCAAACAGGGTCTGTACTTCAAGAAGTGATGGTAAAAATCTTCAGAACTTCGAAGGCCTTTTATTCTCATTTTTATGGAAAGAACTAAGTCAGGTGACACTGGCCTCGCTCACCATTTTGATCTCCCAGTTGACATTCCACTGCTTCATGTTGCTGAATCTCCACGTTTTGATGGCATCTCCTGTGTTGGCATCCATTCGAATTAATCTGTTATATGCAATTCCAATAAGGTCTTCTTTTTTGCCCCCTTGGAACCTATAATATTGAAAAAAGCCAAACAATGAAAACCATGCTTTCAGGGAAACGTATTGGTCTGTTTTTAAGTTCCCTCTAACCTTGCAAGAAAGTGTGGAAAAATGTCATTCTTTTTTTGTTTGTTTTTTTCAGACAGGGTCTCACTATATAGTTCTGGGCTGGCCTTAAACTCATTATGTAGCTTTGAACTCAGTGATCCTCCTGCCTCAGCCTCCCAACTGCTGGAATTACAGGCATGCAGTACCATGCCCAGCTTCTCTTTTTGTTTTTGCGGTGTTGGGGACTGAACCCAGGATCTTGGCATTGAGCTACACTTGCCTAGCCCTTTATTTCTGGAGACAAGGTCTTGCTAAGTTGCCCAGTGTGGACTTGAACTTGTGATCCTCCTGTGTCAGTCTCCCACAGTGCTGAGATTACAGGTGTGTGCCACCACACCCTGATACAAGTGTGATTCTTATATAAGTAAAAATAGCAATCATTTTGAGTTTTTAAGGTAAAAATTAAAAGTATAGAAAGTAAATTCCAATATTCTTTGAATTAGGTTAGTGTTGGGTCAGTGAGCCTAACGAGCTGTAGTTTAAGTGTTTAATTTCTCACTACGTGTAGTAGATGAAGTGAAAGCACAGCTCAAGGTTGACAAAAGCTTTACTCCTCCCAGAGCCACTGACCTCGCGATGAAGTGTGTGATGCCAAACTCGGGGAGTGACTGCCAAGCTTGAATGAATCTCATCTTGGCTTCAATCAGGCTCATCTGAGCCACGTTCTGATGGGCTTCCAGGATCCGTGCTGTTATCTGAACATGAGCAAACATCACCTTTACCACCACACATTACTCTCTCATGGTAGAATCAAGAGAAAAAACAGCAGGAGACTGAATTACGTGCCCCACTACAAACCCATGGATCACCACAGTTGGGGTGAGAAATGATCTCAGGCTACATTTGTGAATTTCATCAATATGTATTTTATGTTTCAAAAATATGATACATTCGTAATTTTTGTTTTTATGTATTAAACAAAAACCGACTATTAGGAGTACCTAACTGCCATCCTTGAGACAGGCCGTTCTATTACAGAGCAGTATATTCCCATCTCTATACAGTGTGTTTAAAGTTAGCAGGAAGATATGGCTGGAGGAGCGTCTGGTAAGCCAGTTTCTAGCAGGAATATTTGTTAGCAGTTTTAATGTACTTGAAATCACCATAATGATTTTTGGAAACATCTAAATCAATTAACCACCATTTTAATTAGATTTACTTTGGGATAACTACTTCCACCAGGGGAAGGCTGTAGTTACTATGGCTTCTAACTTTTCAGTTTCTTTCTTTCTTTCTTTTTGGGCAAATATGGAGAACTTACCAAATCTCTTATAAAGCCTGGCTGTAGATGGCAATGCGAGGAAAGAAAAAGGAAGCGGAAAGAAAAAAAAGGCAATCAGAAAAAATGGCAATGAAGCAAAGCAAAAGCTGCGGCATCCCGCAAACCGAAACTCCAGCCAAAACCATGCAAAAACTACTTTAGGTGGAAACCAGGCAAAGTAAATGCAAGAATGAAAATGAAACCAGCAGCAGTTATTTTCCATTTAGGATACTGAGAAACACTGCACATTTTAGAATGTTAATTTAAATGTAGCTGAAATTAAGGGTAGAAATTTGTAGGAAGAAAATATAAAGAGCAAATACTTTTTTGCACTCCTTGTCTACCAGTTCTTACTGGTTAGAATAAAGGTAATTATTTTAGTGGCAAAATAAAAATTAATATTTAAAAGCCTTTAAAATCTCCTCAGATTTAGTCAAATAGTATGATACATGCACTGCTTTTCAGAGGTTGACAGCATGAAGTACAGTGCTCATATGTTCTTTATTTACACAAGAAAAGCAAACCCCTCAATTACCATCTGCTTTTTGCATCCTTTTTCCTGGAAGGGAAAATAAAGAAATGCTGTACACTACATCCTAGGACTGCAGCTGGGAACTAATGTATTAGCCCATTTCAGCTTGGATTAAAAGAGATAACACACAAGAGCAACTCTTTAAAAATACAGAATTCAGTTTGGGTCATATTCATTCAAAAACATTCACAGCAAGTTCAGGTAACTGAATATAATTTGGGGAAACTAAAGCAGGTTAAACATTGTGAAGGTTCCAGTAATGGACTCAAAAGGAAGACTGGGTGCTGATGCCCGGGCAGGGAGGGCTGACCTGTGCCTGTGGCCTGTGGCGTGTGGCCTACAGAACGCATGAGGTCACTTCCCAGGCCCTGAGTGCTGTGTCCAATGGCTGGCACAGTGCTCACACAAGGCAGCAACTCAACTGCTTATCAGCACCCCCTGGGTGCCAGGCAGTAAGACAGGGCCCTGCCTTCTAGGAGTGACCCGGATGTCCAGTCAGAGAAAGGAGGACTGAAAAGCAATGTGCCCTTGGTAAGACGCCACCGTGGAAGACAAGAGTGCAAGAAGGATCCTTCAGACCGATCCTTTCTACACACTGCTTCCTAGTCCGTTACAGATTCAAAACACTGTCTTCGTCCTCCAGGGAATTTTCACTTGACAATCTAGTTGGAAACTCAGGGATAGAAACTATTATTTCTTGATATCTGATATCAAAATGATAAAACTGCTAAGATCTGAAATTATGCAGTGCCTTTGAAGGCACATGAATTCACTTTTAGAAACAAAATTCCTTGTAAGTCTTAAATGAAATGACTGAGAAAAAAATGCAGTTACCATTTGCTTAATTTTCCCTTTTTAATTTAACAATCTGCATTCCACAAAGCTCCCAGGGCAGCATTTCCTCCATTCCTTATTACTCCCACATCCTATGACTGTGAGATAAACAATTTCCATGCAGCTTATATGACCTCTGAAACTTAAAGACGCACACTTGGTGATTAAAACTTCTGAACATTTCCAGCTAACTGAATTCAGATGCATATAATAAACATTGTATTTAAAGTTAAGGAATTAAGGGTTCTGGGGTCTTTTATTATGTTTAAAAACGATGCACTCCTTAATAAAGATAAAAACAAAACCAGATAAAAATGAAATATTTATTCTAAAGGTCTTCCCTGCTCCCCTGCCCAAACTGAAGTTACTTCCTTTTATGGCATGATGTTTGGTGGAGAGAATATGGGGCTATCCCAAGTCAAATTCCCCTCTGCAAGGTCTTTCATGTGTACTGAGGGACTATTTTCCTAAACAGCAAACCTTTTATGGTACTAATTTCCAGAAAAGTAATTCTAAACACCAAAGGCAGTGAATTTCAATTAAAATTTACCAAACTTTATAACGTTGTGCCAAATCTTGCTTAGGTTCTAACTGTTAATGTCAGGAGTACAGATTGTTTCTACCTTTATAAAGTTTATTTTCAAAGCCAGAAAAATCCATTTCAACAGCAAGAATAGGTATTAAAAATTCTGTTGGAAAATGCTGACTGTACTTTGCATCACATTCATTTAATTATATAAAGAATAAAACAATGAATTAAGGAACACAAAGCATTAAGCCCACCTTAAATTCCCGGAAATATTTAAAAGAACATTCTGTCAACAGAATGACTTCCTCAAGTTGTTTAGAATAAATGTGCTCTCAATTATTCCTCCCTCTTATCTCTTCTAGTAAGATGGTAAAGATTTTAAAATAACCAATTCAAATTGACTAATATCGATGTACTTCCTAACTTATATTCTAACCAGGTGGTATGAAATTTAAACTTTTGCTTAATAGAAGAAATAAAATTAGGATATGTACAGAATTATAAAACAAATCAGCAGAAAGCAGTAGATTGAGGAAAGTGAGGAAATACCTGCTTGTTCTTGTACTTTTTTAGGTACCGAGGAGACACCAAACACTCAGGATTTATATCTGTTGTTATCTGTTCTGGTATTAACTGAGGATCTGGGTTTAAATGCTGCATCTTCAGAAAGGAGAGGATATTCTGAACTTCTAAGTTGTAAGAACTGTCTGCCATGGTCTTGCCCTTGGAGGCTAATCTGCAAGCTGCCATCCAGTGTGCATACTGTTTTTCCTGGTAAAAGCAAACACAGAGGTATGAAGTCACCTGGGGCTGCCAGTATCACAATGGAGGGGCTTCTGAGGATAAGATACAAGGATGACTACTCACTTAGTATAGAAAAATCAAGTCTCCTTTTAGCTAGAGAACTTACATTGTCACAACGAAGCCAGATTTCATTCATGCCCTCTGCAACTGGAATCAGGAGCTTAATGTTAAATTTTTGGCCTGAAATGTTTACATCTGGGGTGACTTCACATCCTGTAATAAAAATTTAATTATTAAAATACTTAGGGCTGGGGATTTAGCTCAGTGGTTTCACCGCCTGCTGTGCAAGTGCAAGGACCCGAGTTCGATCCCTGGTACCAAAAAAAAAAAAAAAAAAGTACTTAAATTTAACTCTGAGAAGTCCCAAGCCAATACAATAGCTTTATTTTGTGGAATTTTAACATGTTGAATGTTGCTACAACATTTTAGGAATGCAGCTCCTACAGGAGGTAACATATACCTATGTATGTGGGGAGCTGGAGTGCAAACAACTTTGTCACTCAGAGTGACATTTTATGGGTAAGTCTTCAGAGATCACACAAATCCAAATAGTCAGCAATGGTAAGCAGTGGGGGCGGGAAGCAGCTTCAGGCAAGTGCTCCCTGGAGGGTTTGCACATGGTCTCTGTGTAAGTTCATGTTGCCCACCATGTCACAGGGTCATCTTGGATGCTTGTTACCTTGTTCTTTGTGCGGGAGCAATTTTTCCTGGCACAGAGTATAAAGCACAAGGTAATAGTATATTCTGGAAAAACAAATGTTAAAATTGTCACGCGTTCCTCCTCCACATAAATACATCTAAGGCATCAAAGACATAGAGCAATTGAGGTAAAAGGGAGGTTCTTTGTTCTCTAGAAGCAACTCCTATCATGAAAATTTGGTGGATTTCTTTTCTTCTTAAAATACTAAATATAAACACCTTGTTTTATAAGTCCTTTCATAGAAGCTTTACAAATGAAGAGAAAATTGTATAGCAATTTGTTTAACCAGCCAAGTTAAAGCAAAGATGTGTGAAGATATACAATCTTTTACCCAAATACCACTAGTCGTTCAAGAGGACTTAAGAGTACATAATCCTGAAATAATGAGGCCTCTTTTAAAGTCCTGAAAAAACTAAGAAGGGAGAGACAGAATGGATGGTAGGCTGCTTCGCAGTCTTCACTCCAAGCCGCTTCCAAGCTCATCATAACCCAGCTGGCTGTACCTCTGAAACATTAAATGCAATCAGCCCATTCTGATCACAGTTCCAATCTTAACTCTCTTCAAATTCTTTCAGAGACTCTATCCTATGACCTCTCCTGACCAGGCCTGTGTTTCCACCTCTCCCTTCAACCCAGCTTCCATTATATCTCATTTCCATGCATTTCCTATGCATTTTTGTTCCTTATGTTCTAAGCAAGCTCCTCTTGTCTTGTCCCTTAAACCTAAGTGTTCTGTAGGATTCTATTCTAAGCTGGCTCTTCTCATATTATTTACCACTAATTCTAACTGCTACTACACCTGTAGTATGTATCTCTTCCCCTAATCCAATGGTCTATACGTTATCTCCAAATAGATCCCCCAAAATTTAAAATATCCCCAAATTAAACTCATCTCTCCTCCCAAACCCAGTTCTTTCTTCTATATTCCAATCTCATTACCACTGTATCCACTTGATTACAGAAGCCAGAAACATGCCTGTCCTCCCTAGCCTTCTCCCAAATTAGTCATCCAGTTTGCTGGTTGATCTTCCTCAGCATCTACTGGATTTGCCCTCCCCCCGACTCCTACTTCCGTATCAATTAATCTTACTTTACCCAGGGCCTCGTGTGTGCTCAGCAGGGGCTCTACCACTGAGCTATATCTCAGCTTTCAATTACCTCAATTTGGATCACAATCACTGTCCTAAAATTACTCCTTCACACCATGGTTGATCAAAATACTGATCAGTCATTCTTGTGGTAATAATCTTTCAGTGACACTTCACAGCTGGAAGTTAAAAAAAAAAAAAAAGAACTGGAGGTGTAGCTCAGTGGTAGAGCTTATGCTTAGCACGCCCAAAATCCTGGGATCAATCCCCAGCACCACAAGACAAACTTTACCATTTTCAATCATTTAATTCCCACAGGTTTCTTCTTATTTCTCATGTTAGCAGGAATCAGATTCAACAGTTTAAGGAAGCATCCACCCTTCCCCTTAGACCCAGTGTTCCAGCACCACAAACTCCACTGCAGTTGCTCAGTCTTTTCTGCAGGTGTTTTTGCACAGCAGTTTCTGTAGAAGCCCTTCTATCACCTCCTCTCTTTCCTTCTACACATCTCAATTTCTCTGGATTTCTTGTGTGTGTGTGTGTGTGTGTGTGGTGCTGCTGCTGCAGCTGGGGACTGAATCCAGGGCCTCAGGCATGTATGCTGGGCCCGTTCTCTGACACTCAGCTCCATCCCCAGCCCTCTTTTCAGATCTTAATTCAGATTCCATACCCCAGGAAGTCTCTCCACCCTTACTGAAGTTTTAAGTTGTAGTTTTACCTCCTTGTTCCTTTATACTTACTTTTTAAAAGTCTGATTTATTGCCCAAATTATAATAATTATTATTTTTTTTTTTTTGCAGTGCTGATGATTGAATTCAGGGCCTCACACATGCTAGGTGAATATTCTACCTTGAGCTACATACAGGTCCAAATTGTAATTCTTTATCTCCCACACTTCATGTCACTAGTGCCCCACACAGCTTGAAGCACAGAAGTTCAATTAGTACTACTGGAATTGAACTTTTAAAACTGTGCGTCTTAGGTCCCTAAAGGAACTTAATGATGGTCCAATACTCTCATTTTTTCTGTGGAAGATACTGAGGCCCAGATAGGATATTTTTCCAAAATTACAGGGGTCACCTGGGAGCACAGCAGAATCCTGACCATTTGGTTTCTAGTCTAGTGTTACTGGTGTGATGTGCAGGAAAAGTGCTCCTATGAAAGGACTTCAGAGAGATGGAATGAGACACAGCTTACACATTTCTTACTTCCACACCAGGACTCGGCTTCTCAGTGATACCCAAAGAAGGTTAAGAATGTAACAGTGACAGTAAGGACAGGGGCCAGAAGACAATTCGAGCTGGCCCCTTGTAGCCAACGAAGGAAACAAGAAGAAAGCTGCAAGTTACAAGAACAGTAGAGACCCAAGAGCTCAACATGACTACTAGGCAAAGCTCCTGTATTAGGGATACAGATTTAGACATTTTGTTGAAATACAGTAGTGTACAATGTACAAAGGGAATGAGGATGCAGATCAGAGGTTCAGGCTCTGGCTGGTGCTGGTACTGGGGAAAGGCTCTCTTTTTCAAATACTGGTGTCTGCATAAAGACCAGGCCTTCGATGCTTCCTCCTGGGAACCAGGGAGGGCCTAGCTTACTCCATTTAAAAAAAATACGTACATGTGTGTGTGTGTAGGAGGGGGGTTGAGTGTGAGAAAAAGACTTCTTTGTCTTAAATGAAATTACTTTAGGAACTGTTTTTATGCAATGAGCCTTTTTCTTTGGCACCTTTGTCCAGTTTTAGTTAGAAAGGCACTTTGCTTTACACACATTAACACAGTACATGCAGCACACATCCAAAGGGGAGTAACTCCATGCTGGCCGGCCACAGGAGGTGCACCTTTGATGCTGTCATGCAGCTGGGAAGCCAGGAGGCTGCTGCAGCTACTGGCTCCAGAGAACACCTAACTCCTCTCTCCATTCTGTCTCCAGCTCCTCAGCTCAACTTGGAATTAAAGTCTTATAGGCATGCAAGCATCGTTGGAGTCTAAATCTCACTGGTGAGAAGTTTGGAAATTGTTTCTAGCTTTTAGCTAATCCACTGTATCCTCCACTCGGCATCCAAGAAGTGCTGAGTGAGCTCAGAGGAGAGTGGTTCTCAAGGGACACAGATTCCTGGAGGAAATGGTGACACGAGCTATGAGATTTTAGTGAATACCACCGGAAGTGAGAGGCTCATCAGCAATGTTCAAGACCTGCTAAAAGGCTCTGCAAAGAAATCAGAGAGCAGCAGCAGAAGAACCAGACCAAGCCAGAAAGGAAATTTTCCCACCACTGGAACCAGTGGATTTATCAGGTGGGACATGAAGGAGCAGTGTGAAGAACCATAAAAGATGCCAAAATGGGAAAGGAGGCTGTGGATCCATAGTCCTGAATGAAAAAATAGATAAAAGTGAGTAGCTGAGCTCTAAAGTAGGTTAAGCCCAGGTTGCTGGAGGCGAGCATGCCACAGGTGCCACAGGGAAAGGAAAGATCTTCCTCAAACACCAGCCCCTAGTTCCGAGACAGCATGGACTGACAAAAGGAAAGGCAAGGTGGCAATGAGGAGTCCAGAGGGATAGCCTGGGCTCGCCTCAGGAGCCACGCGAGACAGAGAGGAAGAAGGTGGCCAGAGTCCTAGAGGTGCCAGCCACCGTGCTGCTGAGTCAGGAGTCAACAGGCTCAGGACCCCAGGCGGCACCAGCCTGCTATCAGTGCGGGGGAGGAAGAAGAGCAGGAGGGTGCTGGTGAAAGGGAGAACCCAACAAAGTGTGGGCGGACATGATTACAACTAGGTGGAAAATGGGGTGAAGCAGACAAGGAGGGGGCCCCTGTAGAATGAGGAAAACCTAAATGTCCTCATTGCTGAAGATAAAGATTTACTTGAAAAATGAGAACAGGAAACATTTCAAGCCAGGTTGTCCACAGAGATTACAAGGAACTATTGACAAGGAATTGAACACTCACAACAGAAAAGGATTTAAAGACACTTAAACATTTAAAAAAGTATTCAGGGGCTGGGGATTTAGCTCAGTGGTTTTGCCACCTGCTGCGCAAGTGCAAGGTCCTGGAGTTTGATCCCTGCTACCAAAAAAAAAAAAAGTACTCAGAAGAATAAAGAAACAAACCCCCCACCCCCACCCCCAGTCAGAAGAGACTCCCTGGGTCATCGGGCCTCCTTACCTCGCAGGTTCATCTGATGAGCAGGGGTGCCACTGGACTCTTCTTTGCTCTTATAGCAGGAAATAGACGTATCTTTGAAAGTGCACCAATATTGCTTGTAGCCTTTTAAAGTCAGCTTTTTGGGCCTAAGTATCAAATACAATTAAGAGGAAGAAACACTTTGAAGTCACTCTGTCAACGCTGTTTCAGTGAGAAGTCTGATGCCAAGTTTTTCACACATGGAAAACAGCTCCCTTTGGGGTCTTACAGGCAACCTGCTGGTACTGGCTGTGCCCTGGCTTCTCCACGTACAGAGAAGACCCCAGTCTTGAGGCAGTGGAGGGCGAGGGGCCCATACTTCTCAAATAAAGCCACCTCGTCACTTGCAGCTTGTTGGAAAAGTTAGGACAAGAAAGGGAAAGCCACTGTCCATGGCTGGACGGTCTTCAGGCTCCACAAGGACCTGTAGGTCTCTGGGGGTCTGCAGAGCTCCCTCTGCGGCAAGTGTGCCCGGCACGCCTGGGAGCAAAGAAGGGCAATGCCCTTGGGGACACATTCAAAAGTGACACCAGTGTTCCTCCAGGGTCCGACACAGATGATGGCGGAGCAGCCACGAAGGAGCAGGTGTTTAGCAGAGGTGTATGAAGGGAGAAGCTGGGGAGAGGCATTTGAAATCTTGCCCTTACCTCAGTAAGGTTACATATTTTGAGCTGTTTTATGTTCCGCTGAAGTAACTGGTTTATAGTATAATAGTTTTATACAGGAGATAAAAGTATATTCTACAGCACTTCCTTTCTTTTCCTTGTCTCTTAATGCCCAGTTCTCCCGATTCTTTGGGATATACTAGGTTTTGATTGTTTTAAAAATCTGGATAGATATACTGGGACCTTATGTAAAATGTTCATGACAAATGAACACAGTTCTGAGCTCTGAGCATGGCCTGGGCAGTGGCAAGTCAGCCTGTGCTATTTACCTGAGGCCCAGAGGCACTGTGTCACTGCACTGCTATGTTTCAGCATCTCTGAAGCACTCTAGGTTTCACAATTTCTTTTAAAGGAATGCTTATCAGGTAACACAATGATCACTGTGATTTTAATTTGGTAAACATGTTTATTTTCTCTCATAATTTATTGTTTATTTAAATGGCTAATCTTTTTACAGACATATTTGCCAGTCCAACCTAACTTACTGTAAATTTACATAATATGAACGACTATAACACTGATACATTATTCATTAATATCTGTAATCCTGCCCCCTTTTGCACTTACTTGAAAACTTTAATATAGTCAGCAAGTTCAGGAATGGACGTAATGTCACCCTAGGGAGAGAGTTAAATCACATTTTTGTGCGTGTTTTTTTTTGGTAGCGGGGATCAAACTCAGGACCTTGCGCTTACAACGCAGGCGTGGTACCACTGAGCTAAATCCCCGGCCCACATTTTTTGTATTTTTAAAAAATTCTTTCTAATGTTTGATACTTCATATCGAGAATTAGCTTATTAAGAAAAAAGAATTACTTATTTAATAAACAGAATTAAGTAAAATACACATCATAAATGTTTAACAGGTACAATCATGTTATATGGCCATATGGACCAAACATTTTGGTCTTGTTACAAAGGCACTTTCAAATAGCACAGAAAGGAAGAATTTGAAACAAATGACAATTTACACAACCTAAATGAGTATGTTACTTGTAAGTATTGCTAAAACTGTTTACGGTCCCCTATGGAAATCTGTAAATCGTAACAGCCCTGAGAAAGTGTTTCTTTAGCAATAACTAATTCTTTAGCTTTAAAACAGCCTTTAAAAGTTACTGTAATAGGGGCCAGGGATTTAACTCAGTAGCACTGCACCTGCTTTGCAAGCACAAGGTCCTGAGTTTGATCCCTGGTACTGCAAAAAAAAAAAAAGTTACTGTAACATCTATTTCCCTCTTCTCTTTGTAATATTCCAAACAAGCAGATCAATGAATGGATTTTTTTACCATGACCCGAGATTTAAGTTTTCCTCTGCAGAAATACTCTCCAGCACTTGTAAAAGAATCTGCAGAGTACCAGAAGATACATCTTTAGTGAGCTGACTATGCACAGTACTGCCTTTTAAAACTTCTTGGGGTTGGGGTGTAGCTCACTGTTAAGAGCACACTTGTGAGCCCTGAGTGTGATCCCCAGCACCGCAAAAACAAAACTTTCCTAACTTTCCTGACAAATCTGTATCTTTTTTGGTCTAAGACACTAAATATTTCTCTCTACCCTCAAAATACTTTCTGTGAACTGAAATCCACAAAAAGGTAAGCGTAAGTGAAAAGATTCACCCTACCAAAATTGTTGATGTTTTACCCCCTTCCAAAGTAATCTCCAGGTCTGAAAGGGCAGCATCAACTTCATCAACATCTTTGTCACTGTTGTTCAGGTGATTCTCTGACGTCATGATGGACAGCTTATTGATATGATACTGAAACCAGAAATTTTATTGAAATGATGATTATAACTGCAAATTTTAAAATGACAGACATTCATCAATATCACTAACATGAATGCTTTTATTACCTAATTTGAAAAAAGAAGGGCCTGGCAACTGATATCAATATCATAAACCTGCTAATAAATATCCATACCCTTTGATATATACAAAGGAATTCCCATTCTGAAAGTCTCTAGGACATAAGAGAGTTAACAGGTAAGAGTTAACATGCTTGGCTTTCATGAGCATGCTTTTTCAGTCTTTCCTCTGCCTAGAACAGCCTGGTACAAATGAATACTGAATAAATGTACAGAACGTGCAAAAATCTTCTGCAGAAATGGATTCACACTGGTTGCTTTTCAGCACTACTGTTACCTAGAAGCGAAAATTAGCACTGACTGCCTCACACTACTACTGCTGAGGACCAAGTTATCATCATTACAGCTTTAGGAGAAAGCTGCGCCTCCCCTTCCTCCATTCTCAAGTTAATGTACCACACTCAGTTACAGAAGACTGGTAAGGGTCACACACACACATGGGAAAGTGCATACATGCACACTAAGTACACATCACCTACCCCTACATATACATAAGAACATTTCTAGAATATAAATTACTGATTTTAAACACATTTAGGTCAGTGACTTAGAACAAATGTAAGAATTATATTTTGATGTTAAAGCCTTAAAGGTTTTACACAGCGGGTCAGAACAATCTTTAACTTAAGCAGTTACTTTTCAAAGCAGTAAGCAAGAAACTCTTTAGACAGTCTCAATCAACCCAGAAATGTAACGGATTTCTAACCAGTCCATTAATCTCGTCTCTAGAAATAACAGATTGATCCACTTGTCACAAGGATTTCTTTGTCTGTGCTTCTTCTTGACTACCTTCTTTCATCAAGCAAAAGAAATTAGCTGTTTTACTTTCTAAGAGCAACTCTGAGTTGTAACTTATTACTTTCCTGGGTGCATAAACGCATTTGGAATACTGAGAGTATCTGTGTGTAAGGAAAAAGTAAAATCATTTTTATAATGGAACCTCTTCAAACCGATTATCAGCTTTACTTTCTTTATTTCTACTTCAACATCAGCAACTCTACCAGGGCTTTGGGTGAAACCAGAATCCCACCATCATGGGAAAACACCTGGCCAAAGAAAGATGAATTAGTCTGGTTGTTAGTAGGTCAATGGGCCTCAGTGTTTCTGAGAATGCTGATTTGTGGATCACCTAACACTGTGTCAGTAGCGGGCACATCAGTAATGAAGGTTTTAGTAAGTGTCACTAATTTTAAAGCAGGTGGTGGCCAAGAATCACATCTGGAAAACACTGGTTTAAGGAAAATATAAGCCGCCTACTTCTTAATGGTTATCATTTTGAGAACATGTTTATGTTTAGTTTTACTAGTCTTGATATTTTACCATTTAAAAAAACACTGCTTCTGCCACAGCTCGTGCTATAGGGTTTTTAAGAAATTTTCTTTCTAAGGGAAAATTGAGTAACTAAGCTAATACACATTTGGGTGTGGGATGATATTTTCCCACAAAATACGGAAAAATAACCATATATACCATTAAACTCTTGAGACAAACTAAGTTCATGTATTTGTGTTGCTTTTCTAAGTGTCTGTTCACTTTGTACACGGCATGAGACCATGCTGCCATAAGCTGGAATTAGCAGGCCACTTTGCTCTTTAACAGTGACCCTAAGGCCGGGGATTTAGCTCAGTGGTTTCGCCGCCTGCTGCGCAAGCACAAGGACCTGAGTTCGATCCCCAGTACCAAAAAAACAAAAACAAAAAAAACAGTGACCCCAGCCTTTTCACCAGCTCACCCACCTGCAAGGCTGCAAACATCATTGTTTCTTCTTCTGTGCATTCAATCTCTTCCAGGATGATGGCCCACCTGGCCTGCTCATACAGCTGATTGATCCTCACTGCGTCGTACTGCAGAGAGAAGAGACACTTTTCTCACACTGCATTCATTACCTTCAGTAACCTGAACACTGGCTTTGAAAGCTTAACAAGAAAAGTGAATACATTACTTTTTTCTGAGATCTTTATTCACTATCAAACACTTCTAGGAAAGAAAAGTATCTAAGGGTTAGATATACCTACACAGAACCACATTTCACTTTCCAGTAAAAATGACAAGACAGTCATTCAGTATTACAGTATTAGAAACAGACCCTGAGGCTGAGGGTATGGCTCAGTGGCCTAGCATGCGCAAGGCCCTAGATCCTATGAGCGGCCCAGGGGAGAGACAAACAGATTCATGTTACTTGCCAGGGAAACAACTATTCAATATTATGCCTTTAAGAAATCTAACTTGGAGGTATTAAAACGAGACAGAAAGATTAATAAAATATGATCAGAGCAACTGAAGTATTTGGGGAAATATCTGGCTCAACACAGAGAAGCAGGCCTAACAGACCTAGACAAACTGGCAGGTCCTTGGAAACAAGTTACTTTAAGTGTCCAAAAGAGATGGTATCTATATACTTGTGGAAAGTATGCTACTGAGCTCTCCATTTAATTATATTAATAATAGTAACATTTAACAATGCTATCTTAAAATGTAACCCTCATTCCATGTATCTATTCCCAAATAGCTTTGGCTATACTAAAAGTAGGTACTATATTACATGGCCTGAAAAGAGACTACAATTTTTGTACAGGTCTCATACTTATCTAAAGAATTAAATAAGCACATAACAAAATGTAAGTATTACACATGAAATCTAGACTGTGATCTAGATGCGATAGGGATGACGCTGGCCAAATCTTCCCCACAATGTCTGAGAATGGTTCAGTCCTCTGTGCCAATTGTTTTCAAAGGGAAAATATACAGATCTCACAGCAAAGTTTAAATCTTATCAAAAAAGCAAAGTACTACAGTAACACTGGTGATCCCCAAAACAGTAAAACAGATAATGATTGGTTATTGAGTAGGAAATGTAGACTTAAAAAAAAATGTGACAATAAAATGTGGTCTTGAAGCAAAATCTCTTGGTTTGTAATTAGTAATATAAAAGTAACAGAAAGAGTAATCTTTCAGAAAACTTTCCTTTATGGCACAGTTGAAGAAAGGTGTTTAAAAAAACCTACCTTTACCAATTCTGTAGCACCAAACTAGTCCTTTTAAAACCCCAATCAGCCAAAAATTGAACTGTCTTAACAAAAAATAAAAAGCTTCAAAAATACTTCCAAGTTATTAAAATAGACTTACTAGAAATGCAAATATCTTTGCCTAAGAAGGTTTGGGTTTTTATATCATTCAAGACTTGCTATAAACAATTCCTTACTTCCAAAAAACAAACATCCAAACGCAGAGAAAAAAAATCCTTTAAACCCTTGGTACCTTTGGATTCAAATCAAAAAAGCTGTAATACTTGAATCGGAGCAGCAAGGCCTCATTTTCTTTCACATATTGTTCCATAAGAGATCTTGAGGAATCGAGCCACCTGAACAAGTCAGTTAGAACAATGGACAAAGCAAAGCAGAATTAATTGAATGTTCTACCTCTAGGTGGATAAAGAAATGCCTCAATTTTATCTGTACCTCAAAACTTACCCTTGGTTGATTTTTGCTTTATCAAGAAGAGCTTGAGGCTTGAACATTTTTGCCAGGATTTCTGGTGATGTGATTGGCTGACTGACAGCAAGGATACCAGGATTGCCTTCTGACAGAGCACTGTCACCAAACCAGGCAGAAGTTGGTGACAAAGGGCTTCCATCATGAGCATCGTAAGTGGGGGTCATTGTTTTACTATACAGTCCTGGGCTGGAATATATACTTCCTAATGAGTAACATGAAAAGAGACAGTTAGTATGAAGAACAGAATCTTCAAGTATGAAGCACAGAATTTTCATTCTCCATGACAACATATACTAAGATATAAAGCACATTATGAGACTTAATCTTCGGTCTGGAAGGAAAGCTTAGTACACTGTTTTACCTGTCTTGAAAATATGGGAAACTAACTCCACTTGTGTAATATTAAAGAAAACTAATAACAAAGCCATAAGAATATAATTAAGTTGGCAGAAATTCGGAGGGAAAAGTTCAAGGGAATTAGGAAATAAGGATTCAGCTGAAGCAGACAGACCAACACTTTTTGTGTTTAACTGTGGCAAGGCTCACCTTTCAGAGGGCCAATGTAAAGAACATCGGTGCCTATAGGAAAGGAAAGAAAGGAATTCAGAAGGTAAAGGAAAGGCAACAATAGAGGACAGAAATAAAAAGATGAAAAGTAAAGGGGAAAAAAAGAAAAACAGATTTTTTTCCTACTGAGAATCATAAACTGAAGTACATATTTCAAGTGGACTTAAAGGCAAAGGACCTTAAAAGTCACAACCTAAGTAAAACAAGATTTTTGCCAAAAAGAATGAAATTGCACTCCAGCCAAGCATACACGTCCACAACATCTGCCATCATTTGAAATCATACCCTGTTTCAAGATAGCTCAAAGTACCTGAATAAATTCACATAAATCAGAACAATTTTATGTTTTCTCAGTGAGTGCTAGGCTAGTTTCAACAGATTTACAAATAAATTTTTAGTACAAAAGGGTGGATAAAATTTTGCTCTAAAGAAGGTATCAAAAGTATGCACATTTTAGAGTTGAGTTCCTGATGGCAGATATATTTTACAGTTCTTCAGTTTTACAAGGCTGGGTGTGTAGGTAGAGACGACACAAATAAAAGCTTGTTAAATTAGTCAACTGATGATATATGCTCCTTCACTTAAGCTGCAACATTAAGAGATCAGATTTATTTAAGATATTTTTAAAAGTTCAGAGTGACATTAAAAACATCTCTCCAAGGGCCAGGGATTTAGCTCAATGGCACCACGCCTGCCTTTCAAGTGTAAGGTCCTGAGTTCAATCCCTGGTACCAAAAAAACCAAAACCAAAAACAAAAAACATCACTCCAAGTTCTAATTCTGTTAAGTTATATTTTGTCCTATAGTTGTAATTTTTAAAAAGAAAATGTGTAATGGGTATAAAATCGCTTATGGATGACAGAAAGAAAAAATTTACCCTATTACCTAACTGGGGAATATGCTTAGAATCCCTTTCCTTTCCTAACTTTCCCCCTGCAATGGTAGGATCAATTACCTGTGAAAAAGTGGTGTTTATGCTAGAGATTTTTGGAGTTGACACAATCTAGTTTAAGAAGAGAAGGCAGAATAAAAAGAAAAGGATTTTTACTGAAAAAAATATGGTATCTTGCTAGCTGTAAGGTATCTGATTTTATGTTCAGCATATATTCTTCCAATGTTAGAACTAAAACAACCTGTAAAATCCAAACATTCTGAAACACGAAGGAAAGCTGTGAACTCTCCTTTTTTAGGGTTTGACACAGAACACTGGCATAGTTAGTCACAGAGTTTTGTTCAAAAGCTGGAACCTTAAACTAGACCAATATTTTTCAAACTTAAAACTGTGTAACATCTTTGTAATAAAGATCTAAAGTGCTGAATATATTATTCCAGTTCAGATGAGCAGAGACTAATTCTGCTATAGAAAATATGCATATAGGGCCAGGGATGTAGCTCAGTGGCACTGCACCTGCTTGGGAAGCCCAAGGTCCTGAGTTCAATTCCTGGAACTGGAAAAAAGAAAAAAAAAAAAGAAAAAAAATATAAATAAGATGTCGAAAAACACTAATTTCTAGGTAGAAATCTATCCTTATTTCGAAGACCTTTTACTTAGAATGTTTACTAAGACTGCTGACCTTGCATGATGTGTAATTACTGTTCAGAATTAAGTTAGAATTGACAATTTTCTTTATTAAGTTTCTAACAGAAAATATATTCCCTTAAATCACACATGTAGCAGAACCAGCCACCTACCCAAATCTCTTCTCAACTTCCTATACTGTGTACTTTACATTTTATTGTTCCTACTTGTTCCATGGATACTATATGGAAATAACTCATTTAGGGTTCCTAATAACTCTAGAAGAGGAAACTGAGACATTTTAGAAGAGGAAACTGAGACATGCAAAGGTTAAAGAGCTTGCTGAAAGTCAAGAGCTAGTAAATTGCAGAGCCAAGCTATAAATCTTAAGCAGTCTTTGCTGTAGCTGTACATGCTGCCTTCATGTGCTACACCTTATCCGTGCCATTCTCAACTGGTACTCGTCTATTTGTTTCTAGCCTTGTTACTGAAGTTACTATTGCAAGCAAAGCTCAGTAAACATTTCTGTAGTCATTTTCCAATTCTAGCTGCACTGCTGTGTCAGAGGGTAGGCACAGTTTGAATTCCTTAAGTCAGTTCAGAGCCAATCCTGACTACCTTATTTTCCTATTTGCTTGGTTTAAGATATATCCGAAGTAGAAAACAAATACGGGATAAGATGAAGTAGCAGATTTAGTCAGCAACAAAATATGAGTCTGCCGAAAAATGTGGAAAGATAACATAAGAGCTAAATAGAAACAGTCTAAAAAAGAAGTTCAAAATGCAGTATAGTCTGGAGCCATCTACTATAGTTATTAAAAATCCCATATGATCAAATAGTTCCTGAAGTACTGTATTTTATCACAGTGAAATCTGACTCATAACTCAGCTATTATAAATTACACTTCTCCTTCTTATGAGCTTCCTGACCTTGGACAAATTAATCCTTGAGGGATTCTTTCCTCAGAAGCAAAATGGGGATGGCACCAAAACTACAGTTTTGTAAAGATCAAGTGAAAGATAATGTATACATTAAATGATACTGTTATACTTTATTGAATGTGTATAATTTTTGATATGGGGGATCTGATATTTTATATATATATCAGAGATTGATACTGGACTGTACTGGAGATTGAACCCTGGGCCTGCACACTGAGCTATATTCCTAGTCTTTTAAAAATTTTTTATTTTGAGACAGAGCCTCACTGAGTCACTAAAGTTGCCCAGGTTGGGTTCAAACTTGCAATCTTTCTGCCTCAGCTTCCCAGTGTGCTGGGATTAGAGGTGTGCACCACCATGCTTGGCTGTTTACTTACTGTTTACTAATTCTACCAGCTAAATTTTGTCTAACATAAATTCTTTGCCCATGTAGTAGTATAGGCCCACAATCCCAGATACTGAGGTGGCAGTTCAAGCAACAGCCTAAGCAACAGAGAGAGAGCCTAAGCAACAGAGAGAGAGACAGAGAGAGAGAGAGAGAGAGAGAGAGACAGAGAGAGAGACAGAGAGAGAGAGAGAGAGAGAGAGGCCCTCAGCAAAACAAAACCAAAACTTAGTAAATTTACCCTGTCTATATTAGTAATATTCAGTCATGATTCAACCATTACAAATCAGACAACCAAGAGGAATAAACAAACTGCAGGACTTCTTTGTGGTGGTGTTTTGTACCCCACTTTCCCACAAAATGAAGTATCTTTAAAATACGAATTAGTAACTCACATCAGATGTGAATTCTAAAAGGGGAAAATATCAGTAGGCTGTGCAATCTAAATTACTATAATTTAATCAAGGTAACTCTAAAGCCTAAGAATTCAGTGAAAAGGCTAATGCTAACCCAATTGCTTTTATTCATTAGCTTAAATTATAAACCAGATTTCCTACATTTTGTCATTAGCATCACAGTTAATGGGACTAGAAGAAAAAATTAGCAAAAATAAACAATTATAAAATTATCCAATGCTTCTACTCGTGCTAGTACCTTCTCGTACAGCTTTTCTTGTGAAATATGTATTTTTTCATACTAGCTATTGCTGGATAATCTACAAATTTTGAGATTACCTGTTAACTGGACCAGCACAGTCTTGGGATTTCTATGCACATGGTTTTCACCCATGGCTTCTGGGCAAGAAAACTCCTGCAGGTCCCAAATTCCAACTAAGACTTATAAGACCTGTTAATCTTTTTTTGTTTTGTTTTTGGTACCGGGGATCGAACTCGGGTCCTTGCGCTTGTGCAGCAGGCGGTGAAACCACTGGGCTAAATCCCCAGCCCTAAAACCTGTTAATCTTACAGGTTCCAATTTGGATGACATGAAACTTTTGACTGTCACTACACACTCACAGACAGTCTGCTAATAAGAGCTCGGGGGAAGAGCATGGTGTGCAGCACCTGGTGGGCCGGTGGGAGCCGAAGCAGGACGGCCCTGGCCTTGGGCACGTACCTCCCTGTACTCTGCATCCTCTCCTTATGCTGGCTACTTTTCAGAATGGTTGTGAGGATCAACTACAACATTACATGTAGTGCTTGGGACCAGAGTTGCTCAATAAATGTGGTTGTTAATAGTAGCAACCGCTCAATACAAACATGGGTTTTCTTTTCTGAAAAGGATGCCTTGCAAAGAACAGCCCACAAGTGTCCCTTAGAGCCCTCGAGACTGTCCAAAGCTCAGGCCTCTGGGAGGGAGGGGATGTGGAATGGTACACAGACCAGAAAGAAAAGCAGCTGCAGAGTGGGTGAAAAGGGAGCTGGTCGGGTGAGAACACGGGAGCCCAGGGTGGGGGGTTAGGAGCGGGTGAGGATGCAGGTCTTGAGTACAAGCAAACCAGAAATGTGGCAATTTAGCATGGCACAAAGATGGAGCAACAGAAGCACAAGTTCGAATCTAATGTAGAGGCTCATTAGCTTCTAAAAACAGGATATAACCAAAATTATCCTAAAAATCTGAAATAGCCGTAATGTACACTACTCTCTTTGAGCACTAGATCAAGTATGCAGGAACTCTTAACTCACATAACTGATGACCTGCTTATCTGCCTCATTATTCCCCCTATAAAAATCACCATAACTCCTTGAAATCTGAAACTGATAAATTACTCTCTAAACCCACTAGTTTATGCCAATTTTGTTTCTTCCAGTAATTAAAGTAAAGCTAGGAGACATAAATGAGAAAAGAAAGACATGCAGAGCCTATAGTAACTAAAATTAATTGTGGAACTTGATAAAGAAGAGTAAAATAATTTACTGAATTGGTGAGGACCAAAAATTATAAAAGACTGGAAGAAATGGGTAAAAATCTAGATTTTACACTCTGCACTCAAGATTGTTTTGCAAAGATTTAAAAATTTTACTCAGCCTTAAAGACACCTAACATATTAGGGTCGTGGATGTAGCTCAGTGGGAGCGTGCTGGCCTACTATGTGTGAGGCCCTGGGTTTCAACCCTCGTATGGGGAAGGGGCAGGACCCCTACACAGACATGGGTTACAGAAAAAAGAAGATTCAGAATCCAAACAGCAGACTCATACTGAAAGAAAAAGCCTTGAACCATACATTTAAAAAAAAAAAGCTGACAAAGGAATACCTATTCATGCTTTTAAGAGAAAGTGTTTCAAGTACTAAGTTTTTCTTACCCTCTCTCCTTAAACTGACTATTTTATTTATATATATATACATACATATATATGTATATATATAATTTTTTTTTGTTTTGTTGGTACTGGGTATTGAACTCAGGACCTTGCAATTGTGAGGTAGGCACGGGGCCACTGAGCTAAATCCCTGGCCAATATATACATGTAAATATATATATATATATATATATATGTATTTTTTTTTACCTGCCAAAAACTATCTCCTTTGGTTTGGAAAAGGGGCCTCTTTAAGCACCAACCCAACCTCTGAGGGCAGGCCCCTGTCCATCCTGACAACTGTGCCTCTGGTCAACTGGCCTCAGAGGCTTCCAGGACCCTCACCTTGGGTTCTGTAATTTGGTGGGATGGCGCAGAGAACTCAGGGAAACAGTTTACTTTCCAGTCTACCAGTTTATCACAAAATGATGCAACTGAGGAACAGCCAGATTGAAGGGAGGCACAGGGCCAGTGATGTGGAAGTCCACAGCACTTCCTCGTCCTCGCAGCGCCTCCCCTCATCAGCAGCCTGGAGGTGTCTGAGTCCCATCCTTCCGGACTAGGGAGGTGGAACCACACGGGCATGCCATAGCTGTGGGCACTGCACACACACTGCTGTCACCACCGTCCTCCCTCTCCCAGAGTTTAAACAGGCAGCAATGAACCAAATCATTACAGTAGTTCAGACATTTGCTGGAAGGACTCATCCTAAACAATGGATTTATAAATGGATAACCAATGGGAATGTGGGGAACCAATGTTCAGACTGCGTACACATCCAGGATTAAAGCACCATGAAACCTATCTAATTAACCACTTAGGCTACCCAACAGACATTATCTACACAACTGATGTATGCCATATGCCGAGTTAGGTCCGGTGCGAAAAGGTGAGAGAATCCCTTCTGTAGGAAGCCCACACTTCGGGGACAAAATGCAGTACAATATCAAACACAGAAAAGTCTGATGACTTACGACAGCAGGATACCTAATCAGGTTGGGAGGTAACTGGTGGGAATCTGAGAAAGCTTTTCAAAGCAGAGAACCTTAAGGAAAAATACGTATGGAGGAAAAATGGCATGTGCAAAGCATAAAGAAGGTTTTATGTGATTAAATAAGGTTTCAAGTAATAATGTACTTACTAAATAGTGGTGGTTTGTATGCTTTATATCCTAAAAAGCTTCCAATCTCTGCCAACCAAAGAAGTGACCTATAATAGAACTATTCCTTTTGACTCCCAGAGCAAGAAAACAGACTTCCTCTTCACTGATTTCACAATTAACACCTAATGTGTCGATCTGCACATGACAGAAACTAATAGTATTGATAGTAATTCTACGGGTGAGGAAAGGTACTTGAGTGTTGTTTGTTTTTTAGCTTGACCACTTTCCCGACCTGCACAATCCATTCTCCCTCTACCAAAAGACAAAAACACACAATCTGGGGTTTTCGTGTTCAGCCCCTTGCATAGCAGCCCCTTGCTTGTTCAAAGTCTCACCTGATCCAGGAGTGATAAGAGGCCCCTCTAATTCAAGCGCTTCATCTTCAGACTGGTCATCTAACTTTTTCTTTTTTTTCTTTGTTGGATCTCTGGGTTTTTTTAAGAGAGAAAGTTCTTCAGGGTGTCTAATATCTGTTAAAATAAGCAAACAAAAATTTAAACATTTTACACTTAATCTATTTCAAGACATGAATTTGTAATTTCCTTCTGTGTCTGTTGAATTCTGCCAGATGCTGATTCCATGTTGATGTATGCCACTTAAAAAATACAGCAAAGCCCAAAACAAAGAAAACCAACTATCAAAAGTACCCTTTTCATTAATATCTAATAAATGTAATGACCCTGAAGTACAGAGATAACCAAGGTACAAAAAAAAAATATTAGAGCCTTTATTTATATATTTATTTTTACCTAAAAGTTGAAGAAATGATGCTAATGTCACAGTAGCGCTCATTTATCTGTGTGTCATAAAGCACAGGTAACAGTAAATGTAGTGATACTTCTCCAACTTTAACTGATTCAAACTTTTCTGCCTTGTAGTGAGCGGCTACGAGTTTCTGTATATTTATTTACATTTGTTCCCCTCTTGCAATTGATTTTCATTTGAGGAATCTGAAAAGAGGTAAAATGGTTAAATGAAAAAGACAAAAGAGGGGCCGGGGATTTAGCTTAGTGGTTCCACCGCCTGCCTCGCAAGCGCAAGGTCCTGAGGAGTTCGATCCCCGGTACCAAAAAAAAAAAGACAAAAGAAATTAAAGATGACCCTAACAAAAATATTTTTACATATTACACTACATATATTATGCATTACATTTATGCATTGTAAAATTCAGTTCTGTTAAGAAGTCAGTTCTCCCCAAATTGAGCTAAAGAGTCAATGGGATCCCAAACTTCCAGCTTTTTTTAAAAAATAGAATCTGACAAGTAGATTTAAGTGTAGAAATGAGAACAATCCTAGAAAAGTCAAAGTAATCTAAGAGGAACAGTGCTGGAGGACTTGCACTAGCTGATTTAAATGTAAGACACTGCAAAGCTACAGCAGTAGAGCCACTGAAGTTACTGGCTAGGTAAGACACAAAGGTGAATGAATGGAAGAGAAGCTCACAAAGCAGACCTGGAGACAGGTACTAATTTCTGACAAAAGTGCCGTGACAATTTAAGGGGAAAGCAAACCTTTTTGTAAGTATTACTGCACAAGAGATTCACACAGTTTTTAAAAGAAACATTAACCCTTACCTAGCTCAATATGCAAAGAAAAATTCTAAATGGGTTATAAGCGTAACTATAACAGCTAAAACAATAAAACTAGAAAAAATCAAGCAAAGATTCCTTACACAAAAACAGAAACCATAAAAACTTGTCCTTTATTAAAAAAAAAAAAGAAAGAAAAAACCAACCTGCTCTATGAAACATAGTCAGTTTATCCTTCTTTATGGCACAGTAGTACTCCACTGTGTATAAATACCACACTATCTATTCATCTGATGGGCATACAGACCACTTTCAAGATTTAGCTATTATGAATTTTGGTGCTATAAATATGGGCATGCGTGTATCACTGTGATATGACATCTTTAACTCCTGTGAGAAGATACTTCGGAGGGAACAGCTGAGTGGAATGGAATTTCTTGTTTTAGTTTTTTCTGCAATCCCTGGACTGATTTCCATCCATCCTGAGTGGCTGTACCGGTTAATATTCCCAACAACAATGAAGGCTCCCCCACCCCGCCCAGCCTCACCAGCCTGTGCTGTTATCTGATTTCCTTATGACAGCTGTTCTTCCTGGAGTCAGATGGAATGTCAGGGTTGTTTTAGAGTTAGTGTTAGGGTGAGGCTTCTCTTTGGTGTGTCTGAAGGGACACACCCCATCCACACCATCGCTTGCTTCTCCTGTGCCCTGGGGCCACCACGAAGTCAGGTCAGGGCTCTGCACTCAACAGGGCTAGCAAGCGTGGAGGGCAGAGTGTACACACAGTCTGGACGCTGCATGGAGGTAGCCACCTCTCCAGCAGTGCAGCTGCTCAGGACAGAGCACAGTTTAATATCTAAGGTTTTTTTTTGGTACGGGGGATCAAACTCAGAACCTTGCACTTTTGAGGCAGATGCAGTACCATTGAGCTAAATTCCCGGCCCCCAGAGCACAATTTAAAATGGACTGTTTACTTCTAGAATTTTCCACTTAGTATTTTCAGACTACAGTTGACAGTAGGTAACCAAAACCTTGAAAAGTAAAACCACAGATGAGGAGTCTATTGTAATGATTTTTTTCTTTATAAAAAATAAATAATCATGGTAGGAAATTTGGAAATAATGAAGTATAAATAAGTCATTTATAAATATTTCTCAATACTGGAATGATTATACAAATAATCACATAATAACTACACAAATATACTGCTGTGCAAAATAAAATTTTATATATACTGTGTAAAAATATAATCATTCTAGTTCTAAGTGCATTATAAATAACATTTTTTACAAATGCCTATGTATATCTTTTTTACACTGTATTTCCTTAGAATTCCTTAGAGTGGAATTACTGATCAAAGGGTTATAATAATTTTTTTAAAAAGGAGAGCAAGACTGGAATGTTTTTTTAAAAAACTGCTTATTTGAAAAATTGTTTTATCTTGTTTTAGTTTACATTTTTGATTGGTAGCGATGTACATCTTCTCATGTGTTTTTTGATTATTTACATGTACTTGCTTCCTTTGCTCATCTTTCAGACGTCTTAAAATCAAAGTGAATTTGCATGTCAAAATCAACAAAGTAGCAATTACTCTAAATCAGTTTCTTTTTCCTTTTAAAAAAAATTTACTTTTTATGCATCACCTCATGCCTAAATGAGAAATCCAAGGAAATCATCTTAATAACTATATGAGACTTTTGATTTTCTGTTATTTGAATGTTAGTATTAGGAATATTAAATTTTGTTTAGTTCTGTATTTTACAGGTTATTTTCTGAAACTTGAAAATGGAATTAACTGAAAGCTATCCTGAACCAATAGGTGAATTATTAATAATTATTAATTAATAATCTAGGGTAAGTCTATCTTAAGTACTAAATAGCAGAAATCACCTTAAAAATAAACACTTGCTTCATAAATTGTCATTTTCTTAAAAGCTTCCAGAATATGATTTCCTCTTCAACTTAAAAATTATGCGTTTTTTTTCAGCTAAAGTCACACAATTAAAAATCAACAACTTCCTTCATGTTTGTATATTCAATATAAAAAGCTAACCTTCTTATCTTTAAATTTGATTTGGGGGGTTTGATGCATTAGCACTAATTTGTATGACTGGCTACATTCAGAAACTTAGAAGGTATTTCAAGTATATCTTTTGAGCCGTATTTACTTAATACAGTTGAATCATTATCTACACCTAGGCTGTGTGTGTGGACTGAATCCAAGATCTTCCCACTGAGCTACATCCCAGGCCTTTTCTTATTTTTTATTTTGAGATAGGGTCTCACTAAGTCACTTAAGTGTCAGCTGCTAAGCCTAAACTGCTCAGGTTGGGTTTAAACTGGCAATCCTCTCGTCTCAGCTTTCCAGAGTGCTGGGTGGCTTGTGCCACCATGTCTGACTTAGATTGGGTTTTTTTACTCTTCTCAGTCAGGCAATTTATTTGACATACCCAATTTAACAGGTACAAACATTGATCCATTCTTATTATCTAAGCATAACATCCTATAATTATAAGATATAGGAAACAACTTTAATATTTTCCCACATATAAGAGGGAGTGGGGTGGGGAAGGAAATGCAATAGAGACTTAGGCAAATGTTTTCAGAAGCCTGGAAGGTGATTTTCTGTGTGTTCTTCACGCTACCAGCAGCTGGCCAAGGAGTGCAGAATTTCTTTAATTAAGGCAGCAATGATGATGGCATTTTGCCTTAAGCTCTCTTGTAGCTTCTGTTCATCCTTTTAGTCCTTATTTACACTTTCAGTTTCTCACGCTAGAGAAACTTTTTGGTATTTATACATGTGTGTCCTATTTACTTCACTTAAGAGTATCGCCTCAATGTGCATCCATTTAGCGATAAAAGTCTCTAATTTCTCATTCTTTATGGCTGAGTAGTACTCCATTTTATTTTAAAAAAACACATTTTCTTTATCCAGTCTCCAGTTGATGGGCATCTGGGCTATTTCCAAGCTTTAGCTATTACAAATTGTGCTGCTATGAACATGGGTGCACATATATCACTGTGGTATGATTCTTTTAATTCTTTGGGGAAGATACCCAGCAGGGGAACAGCTGGGTCAAATGGGACTTCCAGTCCTAGTTCTTTGAGGTATCCCCATACTGATTTCCACAGTGGTTGCACCAGTCTACACTCCCACCAGCAGTGGAGCAGGGTTCCTCTTTCCCCACAGCCTGGCCAGCATTTGTTATTGAATGAATTCTTGATAGCAGCCATTCTTTCTGGGGTGAGGTGGAATCTCAGTGTTGTTTTCATCTGCATCTCTCGAATGACCCGTGATGTTGAACATTTCTTCATATGTTTATTTGCTATTTCTACTTCTTTGTCTGAGAAATGTCTGTTCATTTCAGTTGCCCATTTTTGGATTGGGTCTTTAAATTTGGGAGGTCTGCGTTTTTTAAGTTCTTTATATATTCTAGCTAGTAGACCTTTGTCTGAGGAACTGCTGGTGAAAATTTTTTCCCACATTGTGGGTTGTCTCTTCACACTGCTGGTGGTTTCTCTTGCTGTGCAGAAGATTTTTAATAAGAACAGATCCCACTTGTTGATTTTTATCACATAAAATCAATATATGGAACATTGTTCAAATTTCTAGAAAACACTTCTCTCTACAAGTATCTTCAAAATCTGTGAGCAGTTTACTAGAAGGCCACATAAAATATTTCTTTTTTTTTACTTCTACTGCAAATTTTCTAATCCAGATTAGGCTTTCCATTTTCTGACTGAGAAGTCCAAGTTCAAAAGCAAGAAAATGCACCGAAACAACAACTACAGGATACAAAATGGAAAAAATGCTTTCTTCAAGCATGCCCAGTAATTTCTGGGTATTTTGAAAATCAGTTGTCATAGCATTCCTACAAACAAAACTGTAGCACTGTTCTAAGATGAAGTGCTCAATATTGCTGCCATTATGACATGGAACCGC